GGGAGGTGGATCTGTGAATCCAGTCTTTGCTGTCAGGAGATCAGCAGTTCAGTTCACAAGAATCAGCAGTGGTAGCGCAACCCACTCACAAAAAAACATTCAGGGATCAGCAACAGCAATATGATTCAGAAGAAACTGAGAGACTCTGCCAATCGGTCCAAGTCTGTGGAAGTGGCAAGAAGCCTCTGGAATATGATGAGAGGTTATTTGGTGAGTTTCTCCCTACAAAGTCACAACAAATGATGATCAACAAAAACCGCAAGGTGAATCGATGCCACAGCATTGTCCACTGTCTGTTGGGTTATACTTATACCCTTTCCAAACATTACATGTCCTCTCAAGTGTCTGCTCCAATAAAACATCACATGCCATTTTTTCAGCCACTTACTAGGAAAATTCTGTGTCTGTTGTCAGCAAAACATCTTCTCATAAGACGGTTTCCAGAAAAACATCACATGAGAATCCAAAGAAACCAAAATTTTCCACTTCACCTTGGTCCTCTCTTCTTTATTTTTGAAACAAGATCCCACAAAGTTGCCTGGGATGGTTTTTGATCTCATCCCATAGTCCAGACTGTCCTCAAACTTGAGACCCTCCAATCTCAGCTTCCTGAGTAGCTGTCATTATGACTGTGGAACTCCAGGTCTCCTCTCAGATGATGAGTTTGTACTAATTGTCTGACAACTAAATGTCAACAACTTCTGATCTCTTCAAGGATAAACCATAGGAGCTAATGTGCCAGATCCATAGTAAAAATTTATAGTGCAAAGGACACAAGTTCAGTTCCCAGCACTTACACATTATGTCATTCACAAAGGTCTATAACTGCAGCTTAAGAAAAATCTGACATTCTGAGTTCTATCTGTTGAGACAGAATGGCACTCGTATCCACAAAACTACACAATGACACACACAATAATAGAATACAATACATCATTTTAAAAAATCTTTTAAAAAATTAATCAATGGCCAAAAGATCTCAAAACCAAAGCCATGATTTACTAAACATATTAGGCTATATCAGGAAATAAGACAATAAGCGGTTTTTGACATGCAAACATACAATAAATGGATTGTTTCTCAAAACTTTTCATGTTTGTAAAACATTTCTACCATGGTCAGCCTAAACAAAAAGCAAACTTTTTCAGCCTTAAAGGACTAGAGTGGTTGGAACATAATTTTAGTCTCTCATTGGTTGTCTCAATTTCCCTATGGAGATTCTATATCTTGTTTATTTCTTTTAATTTCTCTATACAGTTATTTCTTCTCATACCAAAAGATCTTTATAAATCTCTTCCTCCAAGTGAAGAATTAGATATTGAGTCATAAGATTATTGTTAGAATTATAATAATCTTAAAACATTGTTCACAAGATATGTACAGTTGGAGGGAGGGGTCCTGGCAGTATCTAAGGAGATGATTATTGCAACAAAAACATATGAATAAAAATGTCAATGCAAATTAACTATCAGTCACCAATCAGCTTTACTGGCTGATCAGTGATTGTTTGATCAGTCAATCAGATTTCAAAAACAACCACACTGACTGCTTCAGACATTAAGATTTTTCAGCCATGAAAAGAGATTTCATACTCTTTTATATCCGATTTGTTCATAAATGCCTTCATTCTGTTTTTACTGGTGTTATTAGTAGTATTACTATTGTAACTATTTACTCAAAGACATAAAATAATACAACCAATGACCTTGAAATTCTTCAATGAGTTCAAATATCAAAAGTACAAATGATACTCTAGAAAGTTCTTTTATCACTCACCCGAAGAAATGAGTTTTTTCCCTTCACTGTGTCTTGAGAAACACAAAGAGTAACAAAATTATAACTTTTCTTTTTTAATATATGTGTAATCTTTGGGGCTTCCATCTGGCTTTAATCTTGTTCTTTGTTGAAAGTTTTTGTCATTTTAACAGTTTGTCTTTTTCTGTAACTGTCAGCATGTGTGTTTTCTATAATCACAAATTTATGTAGAAAGTTTATGGAGACATTGTCATTTATTATTCTCAAATATCCTTTAAAGTCACTTCTAAAATAATATAGAAAATCTATGCATTTTTGTCTCTATAGTTTTAAAGAGAAAATTCAATGTTTATTTATTTTTACTGCATTTGTGTTTTACCTCCACATATGTATGTGTGGGAGTGTCAGATTCCTTGGAACTGGAGTTAAAGGCAGGTCTGAGCTGTCATGTGGATGCTGGAGATTGAATACTGGTTCTCTAGAAGAGAACCAGTGCTTTTAACCACTGAGCCATCTCTCCAGACTCTCCTCTCTACATTTTACATTTAACATATTTACATGTTTTGGTACAACTTGAACGTCTGCATAAAATTGCCATTGATTCACTCCCCACCATCATCCTTCCCAGAATGCAGGGTGAGGCTGTCCTTCCTGCAAGGTTTATGTTACTAAATTTTATCCTTGACTGAGTATCTAAAATTTTCTGCTCCCACAGAATCATAGGCAAACATCACTAATTTCTGTAATTGGGGGTCTTCTTCTTCCAGTAATATTTTATTGATTATTTAGGAATTTCACATTATGCATAAGAGCATAATCACTTCCCAGTACTCCCAAGCCTGTTCCACCAGCTTTCTGACCTCCCTTGCTTCACAAAAGAGGAAGAAGTAAAGGTAGAAGAAAAAGACGACGATAACAGTTTATTTTGTGTTGCCCATATATTCACTGGAGCATGGTGGAAGTCCCAGTAGGCAACGCCTTAAAGAAAACTGAGTTCTTCCCCAATCTGCACTTCTCATTGATCATCCATTTTTGAAGTCTATAATAGCTATAACTTAAGATTTTATTTTATATTTGCATTTCTTCTGAGTCTAAGCTCTAAGTTTTAACTGTTGTAGTTGTTCTTTTTATTGTTGCTGGGGGTTTTTTGGTTTGTTTGCTTGTTTGTTTGCTTGTTTGTTTGGCATTTCCATTATAATTATGGTTTTCATGTTGCTATAATAAAGTTTAAGTTTTATTGAAATTTCATTACTAATGACATAAAGGAGGCTACTTCACCTACCAGCTATACACACACACATATATATATAAATAGATAGATAGATAGATAGATAGATATAGATGATATAGATATAGATATAGATATCTGTGATTCATATATATATATATGCATATATATATGAATAATACTTGTGATAGAAATTATATTCCAATGTATATTGGCCTAAACCCTGAAGTATGACTAACCTACATATAACTACAAATATGTGCATGAATATTCTTAGATATGTATTTTTTTTTTTTGGTCACTCAATCTAAACACCTTCAAAAGCACATGAAGGCACATGAAGAATGCACACTCTGGGTGAATTCTTAACCAAGATCCTTTTCAACAATCTGTTGCTCACATCTCTATAGTCTTAACATTGTTTTGTTTGAAAATCAGTTGTACAAATTTCCTTGTATTTATATAAGTTATTTATGTTTGCATCTTGTAGAAGACACATCAACATTAACTGGACCAAGAATAAGGAAGCAAATATAAATAGATCTGAAACCTTTTCTGTCTAGTGGCACAGAAGTATATAAAAAATTTCTCCTAATATAGTGACATCATTAATAAAATGAAGAATTTAATTTTTAAAGAAGAAAAAGCTTCCCTTTGGGAAATGTGTAAACATAGGCACATAAATCCAGAGATGGCATTATAATGTAACTAAATAATCTTTTGTAAAAAGAAGGTAACATTAATATCAGAGACTGGAACATACTACCTGTTAGGTCTCAAGCCCTAGACAAATGGCTGAAGTTCGAATTTAGTGTACCAAAGCTGACCCTGACTGCCAGATTCTCCCTGAATCCCTCAGTCCCTAGCTGCTACAGAGTCCTCCTCTCTGTCACTCCTTACCACTATCCTAAACTTCTTCTTCCCAGGGACTTGACAGGGCAGCTCTCCCCAGTTGTCCTTCCCTAAATAATCCAGCTATTTTGGTTATCTGGTCAAGGAGAAACTTCCATTTATCCTTTACTCATCTGGCTTTTAGGCTCCCCTTCCCCCATTTCACAGGGCTCAGTTCAGGGCTTACCTACTCTAGACTTTCCTAGATATCTTTAGATCTGGACATGCTCTTCCTTTTACAATAGACCTTTTCTGCTACGATACCTAGGAACAGCCATGTCCTTCCTATTTACTTCTTTTTTCATTTACTACCCAACCTAACCATTCCAATAGCTGGCTTAAATAAAGTCCATGTTTTGGTAATCAATGATTACCAAATACTCACTGTTTCATAAGGTAATTATCCAATGATTAAATATTAAGGTTTACTAGAAGTATAGTAAATATAAAATAATATGGTTGACTAACCTTTGAACAGTGAAATTGAACAAAATTGTCTAAATATCAAGACATGCCACAAGTATTTTTCTGTGGGTTTCATTCAGAATAACTGCACTGTTGGTATTTTCAGGTAACATTCAGTTACCTGTATATAGTGTGCACTCATCTGGACAGCTTTGAGTGTTACAAGGATTTTGCCTAAAGATAAACCCTGATTATGGATACAGAGAATGCCCTTTTGATTGTGTTTGCGTTATGCCTCTTGACAGCAATACATTCATTTCCAAGATCAAATCACATTTTCTAACACCCTGTATCTGCACTTTCCAGCACACATTTATTTGGTCACAACCTAACATTTTTTTATTCCTTGTTTCTCCTTGGGTGAAAGGCAGAAACAAAAAACCTGAAATACAAATACTGGAGTATTGAGGTGCCTCTACTGTAACTTAACTATTTTCTTAGAACCATGGCAAGTTTCAAGCTGGAAGAAGATATGTCATAATGGGGTGTTGTAAAAGTAAACTTTCTGTTCTACAGCAAGAAGGAAGTTTCCAGAAAGTATTAGGAGAATGTCAGTGACACCATGGAGAATATTAAACTTTTGGAACACATTTTGATTTCCTTTAATGTTTGCTAAGAGGAAACTTGGATTTTTTTAATAACTAATGTTTTTCTTTTGCAGCTGTTGTGAGTGCCATCCCTGTACCAACACTAGAAAGTGCCCAGTATCCAGGAATCCTCCCATCCCCCACATGTGGATACCCGCATCCACAGTTCACTCTCCGGCCAGTACCATTCCCAACATTGTCTGTGGACCGAGGTTTTGGAGCAGGAAGAACTCAGTGTAATGCATTTTTCTTTCCATTTTATTGTGACAAATGTTAGTAACAGCAAGATCACCTCCGTGTATCATTTCGGTCTTCTTATTCTTTGGAAAGACTCATTGCCTGTGACCCCATACAGGAATTTTCCAACTCAGAGCATTTAATATTTGGATCTTAGCAGCAGGCTGTTAGAGCGATTACCTAAGACCCTTTCCACAGCAGATACCACAGACAAATGTGTCTGGTGGACAATGAAGAACATACGGCTCCATTACACAATGGAGTAGTAGATGTTTCAAAACGATACCCTGCTAACCAGGAAGTTATAAATCAAGGGTTGTCTTTCAATACATTTGATCTAGTATCTGTTAGTTAAAGTAAAAGATCTCTACCTAGTTCCAGTGAACAAATACAGGATGAATCCACGGCAGTTTTTTTTTTAATTGCTTAAGCAGGACTTTTTCAAGTCTTGGAAGGGAGTAGTTGCTTGAACAAAATGCCATTTATTAGAAAGAGAGCAAGAGTGGAAGAAGGCGTTCATATCCATGAGGTGATTTCTCCCATGCCATTTGATTCCCCTCCCCTCCTTTGAGCACAGCATCTTTAAATCGATTTTATGGCTTTCATCTCTTAGTTAAGAACAGGTGACTCAGCAGCTCATGTGCAAGAGGAGGTTTTGTAATAGATATGATAGCAAAGCAATAAAATATCTTTGTGAGGTAAGCTATATTTTTCCCAACTCAACAGGGGCAGCTCTAAGAAATCATAAATCGTCCAAATGTAGCAAGGTTAGAATTAAAAGGCATCAAAAATCTGCCAGGCGAGAATTAGATTCATTTCCCTTTTCTCGCTGCACATCACATCTACCAAATAGAGTTGTGTGCTAAATCTCGGGGGGGAAAGAACTCCAAAATCACAGGACTGGGAGGAAGGTGAGAGGCATGCCAGAAGCCCAATAGCTAGAAAGTTCTAAATCTCACAACAGCTATGCATGGGAGTCTACTTTTAAAAAGCTCCTAGCCCACAAGTCCCTTCTTTGTTCCTGAACTGAACTCCCTTCGTTTCGTGACATTCTACACCATTATATTCTACCTGTACCTTAGGACTTTAAAGGGACATTGAAGAGGCATCTGTGGCATAGCTTTGCTCTGATCCTTCTGGCATGGCTGGTACCAACCAAAGCTCAAGTATTTCTTCTTATCAACTATTCCCCTTGTTTCCAATTTTTGTAAGCATGGTCTAAAAATGAATTCATCTCACCTGTCCCAAGCCTCTCCCTTTTTTTTTCTTCTTGAGTTAGTGTAGCATGTGGAATTGTCTGTTATTGGATTTTAGGATAAATTATTCAAAAGTTTAATTTTAATGAAAAATAAATATGCTGGTATTAAGAAATTTTTTGTCTATGATTAAAGGAAATTTCCTCTTCTCAACTCTATTTTGGTAATGAAGTGTGAATCCAGGGCCTATATGAAAATATTCTGTGCCTTCCACCTGTTTTTCTGGAAACACAAAATAATGAAATATATTAAAAGTTAGTTAATCATTTAAAGCATCTACACTCTTTAATAGAGTGTTTTTTTTTTGTTCTGGAGCAACAGGATTTATCAAATGAAGGCAATCCTATAGTATAATAGAAAATAATATACTGTATCCCAGAACAATTGTATGCTTATGTAAACAATGTTTTCTTAGCAAGTTTCTCCTGTATAATTTTTGAACTTCATCCAAATTACCAGGCAGTGAAAATTCTATCCCTGGCCATGATTTATACCTTGCTTTAAAATGTATACATTCATTCGTTCAACAAGTTGTTTTCAACAAAATATATGCACTTCGAAAGAAGTAACATCTAATATGCTTCAAGCAATTGCCTGGAAAAAGAATGAATAAATGTTCCTTTTTCTAGAAAGCAAAATATTCTCTAAGTCGCTGTCAATGATCGTTAACATCCAGCTCTTTGATATTGGCTTCTACAGACCGTGTAGAACACTAAACACTCCTATTCTCCCTCAAGCAGAAAAACTTACATTGCTCTGGGTAGAACTGCCTTATTAGTGTCCTTGAGGATCAAAGAAGGTCATACAGAAAAAGATAACGTTAATGTGGCCAAGTGTGGAGGTTCCACTTCTCCACAGTTATCTCAAAAACCCGGAAATTCTTAAGTTGGGAAATGCTAAAGCCCTGTCCCCAAAGCCTGATTGTTTCTGGAGTCATAAACAAAGCCGGATTTCTATAAGGAAACAAGGAAACGGGAGGCCCAATAATAACATTTGCATTTCACAGATTTCCAGATTGATGGACAAATAGTCACATCAGTATAACTGCAGAAGCACTCTTATAGTAAACTGTAGTTTATTATAAGCTGCTGCCCCAGGAGATTAGTCCTGTACTTTGACAATCTCCTAAACAGGCAGTCTTGCATGGAGGTTTCTTTCTGCACATCATAACTATCATAACTATGCAGTGTCTCATTTTTCTCATCCATTAGACAAGTCTATGGAAGAGGGGTATAAGAGCTTTCCATTTTGTCATTGCCACAGTGAGGATACTTCACAGATTAGCCCATGCTGTTTTTCTGTTCCAGTTCCTCCACAAACTAGAAGTTGGCTACCAAATGGAGTTTGTGCCAGAAAAAAACAACAAAAAAAATCAGGAGCATCGTGAAAGGATTCATTCATTTTTCTAGGGGTGTCTCTTAAACATTCCAGGCTATGAGGAACTAGGTTACTGAGGAATAGTTCATAATGTTGTTCTTCCAAGATTAATGTGTAAAATAGGTTCCAAGAGGAGGTGTCCATGCCTCAGCATCTGCTACGTGCTGTTGGTAGGCTGTAATTCTATCAACCACTGCAGTTTTCAGATAGAAGAAAAATCCTCATTTCCATTTTTGCAGTATTTCTGCCAGTTACTCTGTAGCAAGTGTTTTGAATGTTGACATTAATTATTATAAAGTACCTTGAGATTTGACTCTACTGTGTAATTGTATGCTATTTGTACAATGAATTCTGACGATTTCATCATTTGAAAATGAGTGCCTTGCCGACACCCATTTGCTTCTCACTCTGCTCTGAATTGCAAGGAAGCTGTATCCAGGGGGTGAAGGGAGCTTTTCTTTGCTTTTGGAGCTCTTCACACAGATAAATGCCAAGCCACTGAGACAATTTGTTTTACATTGATGTCCTGGAGCAGGTGTCTGAACTGGCCAATAGGCACATCTACACTGCAGCGTTTCTCTGATGGAGCAACTGCTAAGCTGTTTATTTGAGGATTTTGCTGCTTTAAATATCAGCCACAGCATTTTCTTAAAATGCAAGAAATATGGATTAGATGTGAAAGCTCTTATCCACTCTATTTTTTTAAACAACTTTTCTCTTATGGATTATATTCTAATCTTCCTTACACATGGACCTTCTTACTCAAATATCAGGCTTCACATTATGAGTGACAAACAATGAATTCGACAAAGGCTATGGTCCACTTAGTTAGGGCCATCACATCATGGTGATCCCAGTGGGAATAATGCTAGACAGCTGGGAAGGCTAGAGAGGCAGGACCAGGAATAGAGAGAATTTTAGTTCTCATTGATGATGATGATAACAAATGGCCTTAGGAAAAAAGTGACTAAGAATGGCCTCTATGGGTAAAGCGGGGGCATGATGCTCTGAGGGAAGGGAAGAGTTTTATTGTATGTATGAAGGAGAGAACAGCCAGAAGCATCCAGAGCATGGAGAGAAAGTAGAAGACTGAACATGATCAGCAGAATGGATGGAGCCATTAGAAGAGGAGAAGGCGGAAGAGAGGAGGAGAGGAGAACGGAGATACAAGGACAAGAGAGCACAGGGCTGAAACGGCAGGGTTATATAGCAATGAGAACTAGGCAGAAAGGAAGGCCATGATCTGGGGAAGGGTCCAGTAGTGAGAGAAATAGAGTGGAGCCACAGATACTGAGTGAGCCTGGAGGGCAGCATGCACTTTGATATGTGAGTAGGCACTTCAGTTAGCCAATTGTCCCGAGTTTCTTTAGGACCTCAAACTCATGACTTTTAGTAAAATCATTACAATCCATATGTTCACATGACATACAAAGGTTTTGCCAAAATAAGAAACAGAATTTCAAATTCTTAAAGAAAGATGAATGCAAATTTTATTAAACTTGAAAATACAATGATATTTTATCATGAACAGTTCATGTCCAAATACATGACAAAGAAAAGAATTAAAGGAAGGACAAGAAATAAAGAAAATGTAGGCGTCAAAACTTTCCATTGTTTCTTCAATGCTGAAGGAGTTCTAGGAACAGATATTGGTTATTTGCAGTACATGTTCCATAGAGATAATTACTTGTACAAATTTGTAGAAAGAGAAATGTAACATTTCTTTTCCTGTCTTCATAAGTTAGTGTTATGTATGGCCCCGTTACTCAGAACCATTCTGAGAATATTCTCTGGGGACACTTTTTTAAAGAGCCTGTAGTGTTCTAGTTATTTCCTGCAATCTAGCTCTCAAATGAATTCTTTTGGTGTGAAGGAAGTGCAAACAAGGATACCATCCTTAAAGCGTGCCTGCTTTAAGGACCAGGAGTAGCGGACCAACTCATCCACCACTTTAAAGTTAAGGGGGAAACATGCTCAGCTTTAGAAATAGCTAAATTATTAAATCATTATTTAGAAAATCAGACATTGATCACTTTCTTCTTCAGATTAAACATAAGTCCAAAGTTAAAAACCTAACATTTTCTCTTTTTGTAAAATTAAACTTTCAAACAACCCAGGACACAATCTGATCCTATACAAAGACATTCCTCTCCCATTTTGATCATGGGAGCAATTTAGTTTCTTGTAAGACCTATATGGGAGGTTTGGCAGTTGACTGTTTTACTTAAGGTTCCCTGTTTGAAGGCCGACAAAGTCTCATCAGATTTCAAGTTCTGATTGCTATCATTTTCTCACCCAACTGTGCATCTTCTACCTCCACCTCAAAAGGATGAAGTCCACAGGCTGTTCTCTCATCCAGATGACCTCTGACCCCATCTGAAGCAAAAAGGATGAATAAAAATACCTCTGGAAGATGTGTCACTTCTGCATATCTTTCATAGGACACCTTGATCTTTTTACCTTTCAAGTCTGTTCCTTTGGCATTACCAGACTGCTTCTCTATCTCCTCTGCCCTTTGCTGACCTTAGTGAGATTCTCAGGATCCTTTCAAAACCATCTTTTAAACTTATTATTTCGAAATAATCCCACCTTAAAATTATCCTTACAAAGTGAGATATTATGAAAGCAATATCATATCTTCCTATTTTTGCCAAAACAGTTCTTCCTAAGAAATAAATAACTAGAAATACTCATATAGTGTCAACACCACTTATTCCTGGTAGGCAGCTCTTTTATCTGCAGTTTAACTTGGACCTTTTGGCTTTGAATATGAATGAACATTTAAAGTTGATGCACCCTGTCTGTAGCAACAGAAAATGCCTTGAAAATATTTTAGTCTCACTCAACTGTGTTCCCTAGGGGAAAAGGTGCATTTTAATATACAAAGCGGTCCAGACACCCAAAGGCTGTCACAAATGACTGTGGGAAGCCTCTTCAACTCAGTAATCTGCCTGAAAATTACAAGGCTTGCTATCAAAGAGGAAAAAAAAATTATAACTCTGAGTTCAGGCAACTTGCTCCAGTGAAATTATGTCTCATATAACTTTTAGCTCAATGTGCTTCTATTTTGTTATAAGAGATAATGATAGTGGTTATTATTTGTATCATTTTTTTTAGCAATGCCTCTGAGCACCCTGTAACTCTGATTTGTTTGACAGTTGACATGGCATGTTGAAATTGCAGCAAAATTGTCATATTGGCTGGTAGATAGTAATGCAGCCGTAACCGGTTGAATTCCGCTGACATAACGACTTAGAAAAAAAAAGATAACTTGTTTTTCTCACTTCATCACTTATGATTACAGGGTCCAGACCGTTCAGGCAATGTAGTTAGTATGAATATATTGTGTCAGTGTCCCTGAGAGGTGCACCGTGTGCTAATGGACCTGTCTCTACTGTTGAAAAGGGTTGTGCTAATTGTATTCCATACATGCATGAGAGCTGAAGAATAAGAATGATCATAAATCAAAGAAGACGTTGCCAGATCCCATCATTTGTCCCTGGACTGATTCTGGAAAGGTGGGGGAAATAAGCATCATCTTAAATGACATCTGGATTTCTTATTTCCATTACAGCTGTGAGTGAAGGACCAACCACGCAACAGCAACCCATGCTACCCCCAGCTCAGCCTGAACATCCCAGCAGCGAAGAAGCACCCAGCAGAACCATCCCCACAGCCTGTGTGCGGCCAACTCATCCACTCCGCAGCTTTGCTAACCCTTTGCTACCTCCACCTATGAGTGCAATAGAACCAAAAGTCCCTTACACACCACTTTTGTCACAGCCAGGTAAGTACCCGTGACACTTACCAAGGTTCTGTTCTAATCAATGATTGTTGTACTTGTGTAGAGAAGAGACATAGAGGAGGTCTAGATATCATATATGTTTTCCGTGTGGATTGCCTGCCTATCGTGCTCATGTTTGTTATTGATGGTTGAGAAGTAGTCAGGGAACTGACACATGGGTAATTGAAGCAACTTATGGATGATTTCACTCTAGCGATCTGCTAGAGGCAATGCTTCTTCACCTACTACTTTACCACCAGAAAACATAGGTTCTAATATTTTAGGAATTTATTGGTGCCTCTCAGTTTATGTTCAACTTATTTAATGAGAAAAACAGATATAAAGAGTGTTATGTCAAATGTCCCAAAAATATAAAAAGAAAATTATAAAGTATCCAAAATAATGATGAGTTTAGTACTATCACCCATAGGTCATCTTCATTCACATTTTAATAAGGAAAATAAAGTAGCTTAATATTGTATACCAAAGATAACTAATTATATAATATCTTGAAACTAAACTGCAATGACACTTTGTTATTTTCTTGGCCTGTGTCTGTCAGGAATGCCATCATTATCTCAGTAAAAATAACAGAAAATGTTTTCTTGAGCCCTAGTTTTGAAGGTTCCAGTTCATAACTGATTGATCCTGTGGTGAGGCAGCAGCATATCAATCATGGTAAGAATGTAGGGCAGAACAAACCACCCATCTCATTGCTTGGAAGTCAAAGATGGAGAAGGAGGAAATGACTAGGGTCTTCTAGTTCCCTTTGAGTGTATGGACCCAATAACCTAAAGACCTCACACTAGACACATCTCTGAGACTTCTACTATCTCAAAATCACCACACTTGGGTTGAAGCCTTGATCCACGAACTTTGGAGGCATTCAAATACAAAATACGGCAGAAGAAATGATTTCTTTTTTTTAAGTATTTTCTTGAGCAAAATGTCAAAATAATAATAATAATGATAATGATAATAATAATAATTTTACTGGGAAGACCCTAGTCATTTCCTCCTTCCCCATCTTTGACTTCCAAGCAATGGGATGAGGAGTGGTTGGTTCTGCCACACATTCCTACCACATAATTTTTGAATGATATTTTAAATGAATGGAAATAATAATGTAGATGTCAATTGATTTGGGATCTGGGTTATGGCAATCAAGCGGAAATCTGATGCTCTCGGTTAACAAACCTACCAAAAGGAATGTTTAGTTTTGGTAGAACTGATAGTAGGATAGAGAACTGGCATTTTTAAATCAGGTATTATAGTCTTATAATTAAAATATTATCATAGAGACTCTAGCACAGTGGAGCCTGAATGATTGTACTGTGTCCTTAGGAATAGAATCAGGAGCTTGTACTGTCCCAGACTATATTCCAATAAATAATAACCATATCTAAGTGGGTAACAGCTGATGGAATGCCATACAAACAAAGCCACATTGCTTCTATCACTATTGTCCACTGTGAGCCCTTTATTTTTTGACTATTGCTACCATTTTGTTTGAATTCCTTGTCAGAAGCCACCTCTTCTTTCATATTTTCTGATCCTTCTAGCTTGAGTTCTTGGTTTGATTTGATTTTTTTCATAATTCTCCTTTAAATGCCATCTTCCCTTTATAGTTTGTGAGATGTACTCTACCCTCACTTTGGAATTATTAAATGCCTTTCCCTGTTATGTTTCTCCTTCATTGTCTGCCTGCAACTCCTCTGCATTTTACAATGCCTTACCTCACGATTTTCAAATAAGTCTCCCTACATTGCTCCTGACACATGGTAGATAGTATGCTTTTTAAAAGGGCTGCTGTTTACTTATTCTAATAGAAAAAGAAAATTAGCAGACTGACAAATGTATTAGTGGTGACATTAACTACATGCTTCTTAGCCCGAAAGATGAAATACTTAGAGCTTTCAACAAATTTTAATTCCAAGAAAATCATTACTTTAGTCAAACTGATTGATGAAGTAAAGTCATTCTGTTGTCAGCTTAGAAAAGAAAATACCTCAAATAATTTTGCTCTGGATTTCACAATAAAAGACTGTGTAATTAGTAATGAATTTGTCTTTACTTACTGCACATAATTACTTTAGAATATGGTAATGGGAGGCATTGCTCTAATTTTTAAAGAATATGCTAAATGAGAAGTTCCTCTGCTTTGAAAGCTTTGCGATTAGCATCAATGAAGACGCTTCTCTCCTAGATAGGATTTCTGCATGTGGTGTTTCATGAGCAGTGTTAAGGGTCCCAGCCTCAATTTGCCTCCCACTGAGACTGCAGAGCTGTGCTTGCAACAGCTTTATATATGAGGAATAGGGCAATACATATTATGGAGTAACAATCTCCCTGGGATCACATAGCGTTTTGCAGCTTTGCTGTGGTAGGTGGTAATTAGAGATGCTGTCTGTTGTCATAATGACTGGAATTATGCCTACCTGCAAACAGAGTTATTCCTTCATGTTTTCCCTCCCCACACGCTGAGTTAGAGATTTAGCTTAATAGACCCCAGGATCTTTATGGTGTCTTTTGAAGTTTCACCCTGTGATAAAGTGATTCTCTACCTCATAGTTTCATATCCATGGTGGTTGAATAACAGTATTGGCCTTATAAATTCCACAGAACGGTCTCTGCACCTTGAAAATCACAGATGTGGACATATTAGTGATTTGACTTAGTACCTTCTCAGGTTAAATAGAAAATGTTTGATGGAATGTTGGGTTTATCACATTATAAATGTCATATAAATTTTACAGAGGGCCAAAGGAGGGCATGGATAGTGTATGGTGTGTGTGTGTGTGTGTGTGTGTGTGTGTGTGTGTGTGTGTGTGTTGGGACTGGGGTTGTGAGTGTGTGTCCGTGTGGGTGTGTTTGTGGGTGTGAGTGTGTGTGCATATATGCATGTGTGTGTGTACATGCATGTGTGTTCATGCACTCATGTGTAGTTTCCCTCCTGAAGTTTCACTTAGCTGTGAAAGGACCAGCAGTACTTTTACAGCCACAAGCTTTTCTACCCGGCCTCTTTGTTCCCAGAATAATGACTAGGAGACTTAATTATTCATAAATAAATGCCTAGCCCATAAGCTTTGGCTCATTCCGATAACTTACATAACCCTATGTCTGCCACATTGTTGATTACCTCTCCTCAGTTTCACACATCTGAATTCCTCTGAGTTCAAGGAAAATCTCCTGCCTCTGTCTAACTCTGGATTCCAATATCTCTCTACTAGGACTCCCACCTTCTATTTCCTGCTTCAGCTGATAGGCCATCAGCTTTTTACTGACAAGGGATGCTTTCACACAGTACAGAGAAGATTCTTTCTACATACTTTAAATGAAGTTAGAACAGCAGCCCATTTGCCCTGTGGAACTATCATTTTACGGACAAAACCCATGTAATTTCTCAAATACTGATGTTTACTGTGGTGTATTCATAGTATGAGCCTCCTAAGCACTTGCATCTTTGTTAAACAAAAGGAATCTTATAATGTTTTCACTTACTTATCTATATAAAAGCCTGATGTATTCTGATCTTTTCAATCTTTGAGTGATCAATATGTCAGTGGACATGACAAAACCAAAAAACAATTCATTGTATAGCAAATTGAGTTTGATTTTTTTTCCCCTGCACATTGTGACATGTCTTTCACTTTGGCTGCAGATTGAAAACAAGGTGCAGGTATATATGGATGACAGTGGAAAGAAAAGGTGCATAAGTTATATTTTATGGCTGGTTGGAAAATCATGTATTCCCTTTGTAACATGATTTTTTGGTCAGGCCCCATTTCAGTAAATATGCTATATCACAAAGCAGCCAATAACCTGCTTTTTATAAATTACTACAATGGATTTCAACACCAGACTCTCAAACCACCACTGAGCGTATTCATTAAGGATGTTACCTGAGTGTCCCAATCTGATAGTCAGTCACAGTCAGAGGTTTTGGTAGATCAAATGTACTTGAGCAGGTGTCATAAAACTTTCATTGTTAGGGTTAGTCGCAGAAGTCACTCACACAACTAAATGGCCAGTATATGTGGATTTGGTGTTATTGGATCCAACAGTGCAATCAACTGTAGGCAGCAAAATTACACCTCCCAGTAAATACATTTCCTTTCATGTTAAGTCCCACCTGTGTTTTTAACAAGCATCTTGAGATTTTCTGGTCCTCACCTATAACCAATCTTATTTAATAAATGAAATTTGATCTGATATAATCCAATCATCTTATATTATACTTATTAAAATGTAACAAGACAACTTTTTTAGCTATAGATAGTAGTTGTCACCTTGTAACCTACTTGGGGTTTATTTTGGAAAATACTAATTTCCTGTAAACTGGTGTTCTGACATGTAAATAGGAAAGAGGTGTAGTAGCTGTCTTAAAAACAGAAATATTGTTTTCAGAGAAGATTTAATGAGTGATTGATGTGTCCGATGTCTCATCTGCTGACAATAAAACACAATAAAAATGTTAAAGATTTTCCCATGCTCAACAACTGAGTTTGAAAGCAGACATCAAAAATTCAGAAAATTATAACCTTGATAAGAAATATGTTTTGGTTGATTTCCTTCCACTACAAAGACCCTTCCAAGTGGATACTAGATACTAAATATTCCTAAGGAAAAATTGTAGCAGATAAGATGATATTTAGATTACTTTCGGCATAATTGCTTTTATAATGTATTCATTTATTATTGTGTGAGTGTACCTATATAGTGTGCATGTACATGCATGCACATTTATATGTGTATATGTATAATGTAATATGTGTGGCCATGATACCAAAGCACACATGTGAAAGTCAACAGACACCATCCATGAAGTGAACTACCTCCTTCACCTTTCTATGGGATCCAGGGATCAAGCTTAAATTGCCAACCTTGCTTACAAAATTCACTGAGTAACCCTATCTTGCCAGTACCAGATACTTACTGCTTCTTAGCTCTGTTACTAAAACAGTGATGTTTTAATATCCTTGTTGCTATTAGATAGGAAAAGG